ATAAATAATATATTATTTTACTATATATGTATATATATATATATATATATATATAGGTGAACATAGACACATATACATACATATTTATACGCCTAAATCCAAATCCTGACATCATATACGACATACTCGATAGCCCACCGTATCCACATCCAATATCTGTGAAGTCGACCTTTCTACCCAACTTCTGTGGCTCTGTCAAGTCTTCTTCCTTTGTACCAGGGATAGCACAGTACCTCGGATAGTGGCCATTCCAGTCAGCCTCACTTGGTGAACTGGGATATTCCCAGAACTCGTCTGCTAAGGGGTTAGCGTGTGCACGTGTGCGGTAATAGCGCTTCTGCGGTAAGCCCTCTATCTCCTCAACTGTGTTATTACTATCCACTTGCATAGCTGTGTTTGTGTCAGCTGTTACTGTGGATGGGGAGACCGCGTCCTTGCACTCTAGAGTAGCCATCTTTGTCAGTTATTAATCAGGAACAGAGTATAGAGTGTCGCCTACTGCCTCTACTTATTTAAAATCAGTTCATGGAAATATTACAAGCATATATATCTGTGTGGATATATTCAATGTATATGTATATATACTGTCTATATATAACTATAATATATGTACATATATATATATAATAGCCAACTGAAACTGATTGAACTATGATATACTGTACTATAACCGCTTCATAGTAATGATAATATTGTCTAATTCACACAAGAAATTCAAATGGGATAATACATATCCGATATGTATAATACAATATTTAGCCCCTCTCTTGAAAAAGCCATACAATCAGTTTATTCGAAAACAGTTCGGTCCTTTACCACATGTATATCAGTAGACGTGGTGACTGGTGAGTAAAGATTACCACAGTGGCAAATCAGACTCAAACCTTTTTTTTGACCGACAATTTTCTAAAACACAGGTGATTTGTACCACTTCTTGGATAAATATTTAATTTTCACCCGTGAGGTGATTGTTCAGATTGTACACACATATTCATACCATAAACACACATATACCACATATAACAGCAACCATGACGCTTACAGCTTTCACGGAACAGACCCCCGAAATTCAGGTAGGTGTGTAGATCCATGATGGATATAGCGCGTAAATAATTGTGCGACTTTGATTGACCATACCAAATGTTACTCTCGCATTTGCGACTCAACTTGTAGTGGTAGTATTGTTTCACCATATAACTATGAAACCGAGCGTGACTCGTCACATTATCAAGTGTAATAGAACACCGTGCACGGTATTTTTATTCATATATGTACTTGTGTCTTCCTTACTATATGTCTTACTTAATCACGCATGTGTGTCTACACGTA